CAACCAAACTCATTGCCATTGAGTCGATCCTGACTCATAGTGACCCTATAGGACAGTGTAGAACTGCCACATAGGGTTTCCAAGGAGTGGCTGGTGGGTTTGAACTGCTGACCTTTTCGTTAGGAGCCCAATGCTTAACCACTGCACCACCAGGGCCCCTATAAGAACACTGGCAGCAACAAAAACAACAGGGCGGGCTTCTAGCGCATATAGACGAAACCACGTGATTCAAAGCATCATTGTAATTGGGTGATAATGACAGCTTTGACTGGAGTGCGTTAGAAGGTTCAAAAAGTAAATTAGCATAGAATTTTAGCCTTGTAGGTGTATTGATACATGTAAGCTGGGCTCATGAAAAATGTTTTCGTTGTTATAACTAACTACAGAGATATTTTATAAAAAATAATAAATTTCTGCTGAAACACTGCACAAAAATTTTGTTTTTCTCATTTTGGTGTCGTCCCCTCTGACAGTGTCACCCAGTGCAGTCTGCACCCCTCTAGTGATGCCACTGGTGGAGAGCAATGGAAGTGGGGCAGGGGCTAGGACTGAGACCACGTTTCCATTGCTGCCTTCCTGTCCTGCCCTTCCTTTCGCCCCCTGCAGCTGGCCCGGGCTGGGACTGTGGGCAGTCAGGGTGCTAAGCTGCTTCTGGAAGTGAGTGAGCGCGTGCGGACCTTGACAGAGGCCTACTTCTCCCCGGAGCGGCCCCTGCATCTGTCCTTCACGCATCTAGTGTGCCGCAGCGCCATAGAAGGTAACCGCTGGGAACCCCAACTGCTCCTCCCCAATCTCAGGCCCCTGTCTGGCACTGCACACCCTCAGCCCCCCAACCAGGGTGGGCTTCATTCCTCACTCCAGAAAGACCCCACCTCCCCTGCTCAGGTGGGGACCTGGCTCCTCTTGCCAGCTGTAACCCCGGGAGCTGCTGGGTGGATGATATGAGCCCACAGGGGCGGTAGTTGGGCATGGGGCACAGAGGTGTTCGCCAGTCTCCTTTGCATCCTAGGAGAGCAAGAGCAGCGCATGGACCTGAGTCACCCAGTGCATGCAGACAACTGCGTCCTAGACCCTGACACCGGAGAATGCTGGCAGGAGCCCCCAGCCTACACTTATCGTGACTATAGGTGGGCAGCCCCTCCAGGCATCAGGCAGGCGGGCAGAGAGAGGTACCCCGCAGCAGGCCCGAGCTGGGGTCTCACTGCCTCCTGTCTTCTTCCCTGCCCAGTGGAATCCTCTACCTCAACGATGACTTCAAGGGTGGGGACCTGTTCTTCACGGAGCCCAATGCCCTCACTGTCACGGTACATGGGTAGGGGATATGGGGGTGTGACAGGGAGCCAGCTGTGGGGTCAGGATTCAAAACAGAAGGTTCCCAGAGGCAAATGCAGGGAAATGGCTGGGAACACCTTAACCCTTTCCCCTCTGGGCCTCGAGCCCTGCTTGCCACTTCTCTGTGTTCAGGGGCCTGAAGCTGGGCTTTCCTGGCAGAGGTTGATTAAGCCTCACCGGTAGACCTCTAGTGGCCCCTCCTGACCCTGCCTAAGTGTTTGCCTTGGCTCCTAAAGGAGGGTGGGGGGTGAAGCACAGCCTGCAGGGCCCTTCCAGGATCCCCACGTCCCTGTTCTAGGGATTTGGGAAACTTGAAAATACTCCTTCCTCCTCACAGCAAAATGAGCATAGTGGCTAGCAGCATAGCTGCTGGGGTCATCTAGACCTGGGTTCAGGTTTGTGTTCCTAACCTTTCTGAGTTCAGTTTCCTAAATGGGGGTGATAATAATAGTACCTATTTTAAAGAGTTATTGCAAGAAGTCAACTAGGTAATGCACCTAAAAAAATAAGCCAGTGCCCGGCAAGAATCAACAATTAATAAATGTTAGGTGGTATTATTACTTTCTCCTTATTCCTGGATCATGGCAAGTTCCAGGTAGAAACTAGGTGCTAGAATTGGGTAGGTGGAGAGGGGCAGTGATTTCTAATTGCCTCTTGCTCTGTCTTAGGCCATTACCTCTTTGCTTCCTTACCCCCCCAAAAACAAAAACCAAACCCACTCCTGTTGAATCGGTTCTGACTCATAGTGATCCTGTAGGACAGAGTAGAACTGCTCCATAGGGTTTCCAAGGCTATAAATCTTTACAGAAGCAGACTGCCACATCTTTCTCCCCAGGAGTGGCTGGTGGGTTCAAACCGCTGACCTTTCAGTTAGCAGCCAAGTGCTTAACTACTGTGCCACCAGGGCTCCTTCCTTACCCTCCAGCTGCTGATAATCCAGGCCCTCCTTGAGGTGAAAAAAATGTCTCCCAAGATCCTTATCCCCCTCTGCCCAGGATCTGGCACTGCATCCACACCCTCAGACTGCTTCACACCCTGGTTCAAAAGGTTGAAAATTTAGGGCACCCCAGGGGAGGGGAGACCAACAGGAGACCCTCAGTGGAGGCCCCTTCTCCCTACGGCTCCCAACTCCTCTAGCCTCCCTCTGGGGTTTTTGCTTCTCTAATTGGAGCCGATTTCCTATTTGCCACAAGCTGGTGCCTGAATTAAGGAGTGGCAAGCGATGGTCAAGAGAGTAGACCCTCTCCGTGCACCCCCCTTCCAATCCCACCCTGCTCTTGGGAGAAAGAACCGAGCTCTCTGAGAGGGCCCATCCCTGGGGCTGACCCTGCCCTTGCCCCCCAGGCTCGGGTTCGTCCTCGCTGCGGACGCCTTGTGGCCTTCAGCTCTGGTGGAGAGAATCCCCATGGTGTATGGGCTGTGACACGGGGACGGCGCTGCGCCCTGGCACTGTGGCACACGTGGGCGCCTGAGCACAAGGAGCAGGTGAGGGGTTGCTGGGGTAGGAAGGTATGTAGGTTCTCCTGGATGTGAAGTGTGGGCTGGCAATGTTGAGAAAGCCCAGAGGTGAGGGGCAGGGGCTGACATGCCCCAGGGAGGGTCCTTGGGGCAGGGTGGACTGTAGGGGATTGGCTCTGACTTTCCTACCACCCCTAGGAGTGGGCAGAGGCCAAGGAGCTGCTGCAGGAGCCAAAAGAGACTGAAAAAGAGGAGGAGGAAGAAATGCCCACCAGAGACCCTGCCCCAGAGCCCCCCAGCCACAGGCTTCAGCGGGTCCAAGACAAGGCTGGGAAGCCGCCTCGGGTCCGGGAGGAGCTGTGAGGGGCTGCACCAGCTCCTTGAGGATGTGGCCATCTGATACGTGAAGGGCCACCTTGCTGCCAAGACCAACTGAAAGCCCTATGTGACATCAGGAGCAGAACAGCAAGTGCTGTCCCTGCACTCCCACCATCTTCTGATCTACAAGGGCCGTCCCAGCCCAGGCCTCAGAGGACATTGCACAGACTTGCACAGACTAGCCCAGAGCTCACCAGGCCTGGCCCCAGCTGACCAGTCATTGGCCCTGGAACGGACAGAGGACACCATGCTTTCCTGAACAGAAATGGCAAGGGGCAGGGGACTGACTGCTTTAAATGAGGAGGATGGGAGATGAAGGATAACCTTGCTCTCCTCCCAGCCTGAGCAATAAAGAACATGCAGATCCCTCAGCCAGGGGCCCGGTTGAGTGTGTCATGGGTTGTGTGGTTGCTGAAGGTGGGGGTGGCTGTGGCTAGCCTGGGAGAAGACAGGTGTCTTGGGCCCCCTCAGAGGTGGGGCCACTCAAGCCTAAGATTTGTCAGGGAAATCTCGGCCACCTGCTTCCCTCATGCAAATGCACCCAAGCCCCTGACATCTGCTTCCTGGGCTCTACCTCTAAGCCCTGTCTTCCCTGAGCTTGGCTGAGGTTTGGGGCAGCCAGGCCCTTCTGGCTCCTGCCTTCACAGCCCCAGTAGAGCCCTGTGAGTCATGGGGGCAAAGGGGGGGCTCCCCAGACTGGGAGCAGGGGTCAGGGTTGCCCTCCACTTACAGTCTTTTCTCCCAACCACCCTTCTGTCTGGATCCCCTGTACCTCTCCCTGCCCCACTCTAGGATCAGACCCAAGGGCAGCTGGTTGGGGTTTGTTGAGAAGGAGGATTATCCAGATCAGTCCTTTCTAATCTCAGCTCCTGCCTGCACCCTCCCCATAGTCACCATAACCTTCTTCCCCCACCACCCTGAGCTAAGGAACAAAATTTGGGGTGTTGACAATAGGGCCACCTTTCACAATCGTTTCATGGCTCATGGCCTGGTTGCTAGGTGGGCCCTGACTGCCAAGATCATCACCACTGGTGGGGGCCAGGCCTGGGGGCCACTGGTGCTGTGGTTGCTACTGCTCCTTTGCACCCCTTCCAAACCCCAACCCTTAATCCTCACAGCTTTGCTCTAATCTCACAGGGCCTGATGCTCTTATCTGTGCCTGCAGAGAGAATGACCAGGGAAGCACCCCATCAACTGTCAACCTCCCTCCCTCTCAGGCTGGTTGTGGGGGGCTGCTCCCCTCTAGTTCCATACTCCCAATCCCACCCCTCCCCTGGGCTCGGCCCAGGTCTCTTGGAGCTGCACACCACCCTCCCTGTACTCTCCCTGCCCCCATCCCTGCCAGCTAATTTAATTTGCCTGACGTCCTGGCTGGCCCTACCCTTCCCTGTCACCACCCTCCCCCCCAGCTCCCCCTCATCCCAGTCAGGGCCAGACCAGGCCAACTCCTCTGGCAGCAGAGTGGGGCAGGTGACTTGCGGGCATTGCAGCTAAGGGAGTGAGGAGGTGACTGGGAACCGGAGCTGAAAACCTGGGAGAGGTCCAGTCAGAGCCCAAGTAAGAGGGAGCTGGCTGGGCTCTGTGCTCTGGGGCTGGGGGGCTGCAGGGGGGGCTCATGCAGGGCTGGGGCTGGATGCACAGGACTCCACAAACTTCCCAGATGGGCAGGGTGCATGGGCAACCCAGTCATTTTCCTATTTCATAACATGGGCTCCAGCCCTCATGAGGAGTCCAGGGTAGGGTGTGAGGGACATAACATGGCCCGCTGGGCTTCCCCAACACCAATCCCACATTCCTGGCAGGAGCAGGAACAACTCCTTGACCTCTCAGCCATGGGGGAGATGGAGCAATTGCGGCAGGAGGCGGAGCAGCTCAAGAAGCAGATTGCAGTAACCCAGAACCCTCCCACTGGGAAGCCCCAAAAAACACAGAACCAGGGACATGAGGGAGTGTGGCATGGGGACGGGGGCTGGGTTTGCTCTAGTGACGCCTTAGAGACCACTGGCCTGGAAATGACCAGAGACTTCCTGAACTTGAATCTCATATTGGAGACTCCCTCAAACCCCAGAGCCCCAAGCCCACCTACTTCAGAGGCCCATGCATCCACCCACCCCTACCCTGCCCTTTCCCTCCTCTGATGTTTGCTTCTCCCCTAGGATGCCAGGAAAGCTTGTGCTGATATTACTCTGGCAGAGGTGAGACCTCTTGTTCCCCTGAGGACAGGGCATGAGGGGTGGGAATGGGAACTCCCTGACCAGCAACAACCAGGTACTGAGCTTGAGGTACAGCATGTCCTCAGAATGAGGAATGGCGTTCATTCATTCATTCAACAAACATTTAGTGAGAGCCTGGTTGTACAGTGGTTAAAGTGCTCAGTTGCTAACCAAAAGGTCAGCAGTTCGAACCCACCAGCTGCTCTGCAGGAGAAGGATGTGGCAGTCTGTTTCCCTAAAGATTTCAGCCTTGGAAACCCTATGGGGCAGTTCTACTCTGTCCTATAGGGTCGCTATGAGTCAGAATCAACTTGATAGCGGTGGGTTTACTCTGGGCCAGGCACTGTATTAGATGCTAAAGATACCAAGATGCAGACACTGTCTCTGTGCTTGTCCATAAAATCAGTGATTCCACCCCTCTGGCAGGATCATAAGGATGAAGAGAATGTTGAAGGTACTTTGTAAATCACAAAGCCCTACAGACACTAGTGCTAATAGTTGTCTAATGCAGTATTTCATCAATTGTAAGGTACACATTTTTTCATTCTGACACCTCTGAAATCAAGATGCATACAACAATGGATGATGCCTTATGAGTACAATTGGCGGCATTTTTTCTTTCTCACAACCAAAAAAAACCAAAGCCATTGCCGTTGAGTAGATTCCGACTCCTAGCGACCCTGTGGGACAGAGTAGAACTGCCACATAGTGTTACCAAGAAGCTGCTGGTGAATTCGAACTGCCGACCTGTTGGTTACCAGTTGAACACTGAACCACTGCGCCACCTTTCTTAGTGATATGGAAAATAATGGTGCTTCTTAGAGTTGATGGTATCTTATATTGGATTAAATATATTAATAATAGGAGCAAACATTTACTGAACACATACTTTGAGCCAGATACTGGACTAAATTGCTTACGTACTAATCTCATTCAATTTTCATGACAACCCTGTGAGGTGGGTGCTATGATAAGCCTCATTTTGCAGATGAGGAAACAGGCTTAGAGAGGTTAAGAAACTGGCCCAAGATCACAAAGCAAGTAAATGGCAAGTCAAGTCTGTTGATTCTGGAGCCCCAACCTAAGTCTAGAAGCTGGTTAAGAGTTTACAGGGCAAAAGACCACAAGTTCCAAGAGGTGCAGTCCAGGGTCATGGTGACACCCTGGGTTACTCAGTTAAAGAGTTGGCCAGGCTGCAGTGGTGGGTTTGGGAGAGTCCATTGTGTGCATCTCTTCCCAAGTCCAGGTTCAGTGACCTCACGTTGGTAGCCTGAAACTGGCCCAGCTGGGAGTATTTACGTCATGAAAACCACCCACCAACTGCCCTCACTCTTCCTCACCCCCTGCTGGAGAGGAGGTTGTTCAACACTTACAACACACCACTGGCGCTGTAGTATCTGTCTCCCACTCCAGGGCAGGGACTTATTTCTCTAAGGCTGGGGCCCTGACCTAGAGCCTGGCACAGAGCAGAAATTTATACAAATCAGTGGCTGCAACACAGATCTGGGCACATCCCCTGCTCACCTGATTTCTAACGCACTTTTCTCTGTAGCTGGTGTCTGGCCTAGAGGTCGTAGGACGAGTCCAGATGCGGACGCGGCGGACACTAAGGGGGCACCTGGCCAAGATATATGCCATGCACTGGGCCACTGACTCCAAGTGAGGCTTGAGAGGGCCCAGAGGGAGAGGGGAGGCAGGAAGGAGATGCTTGGGTGACATGGCTACCCTCTTCCCAGGCTGCTGGTAAGTGCCTCGCAAGATGGGAAGCTGATCGTGTGGGACACCTACACCACCAATAAGGTACCAGCCCTGCCTCCCTGACCACCGAACCCTTCCTGGGGGCAGTATTCCTGCCCTTCTCTACCCCTCCCCACCTGGAACTCAGCTCAGGTCCTCCTCTACCCAAACCTGCCCTCCCCACAGGTGCATGCCATCCCACTGCGCTCCTCCTGGGTCATGACCTGTGCCTACGCCCCATCAGGGAACTTTGTGGCATGTGGGGGGCTGGACAACACGTGTTCCATCTATAGCCTCAAATCCCGTGAGGGCAATGTCAAGATCAGCCGGGAGCTCTCTGCTCACACAGGTGAGCAGACCCTGTCTTTCAGTCCCAAGTGTTCCAGGGAGCCCCAGGCCCCTGGTGAACTGTGACTGCAGCCAGTCCCTGCCCTTCTAACCACCCCCAGGTTATCTCTCCTGCTGCCGCTTCCTGGATGACAACAACATTGTGACCAGCTCTGGGGACACCACATGGTGAGGACTGACACTGTGGGTGCTGGGGCTTGGTAGGCAGTCCTATCCTTTCTCTGTGACGGCCTTCCTCCCTCCCGGCAGTGCCCTGTGGGATATTGAGACCGGGCAGCAGAAGACTGTGTTTGTGGGACACACGGGTGACTGCATGAGCCTGGCTGTCTCTCCCGACTTCAAATTCTTCATTTCGGGGGCTTGTGATGCCAGCGCCAAGCTCTGGGATGTGCGGGAGGGGACCTGCCGTCAGACTTTCACAGGACATGAGTCAGACATCAATGCCATCTGCGTGAGCTCCCATCCCTGTTCCATTTCCCCAGGACCACCTCACCCCACACACAGCTTCTTCCCCTCCCGTAGCTCCCCTAGCCCTATGCTTTTTATTTTGAAATAATTTCACCTTACAGAAAAGTTTCAAAGCTAATAAGAAGAATCCCCATATACCCTTGGCCCACAGTTAACATTCACTAACAGTTAGCATTTACCCTATTTACTTCCTCATTCTCTCTCTGAAGAGAAAATAGATAGATATACACACAGATGTAGGTATAAGTAGATTATTTTTTTCTGGGCCTTTTGAGAGTAAGTTGCAGACATCATGCCTCTTTACCCCTTAAATACTTTGGTGTGTATTTCCTAAAAAACAAGGCTATTCTCTCACATAACCACAGTATAGGTCTTAAAATCAGGAAATTTAACATTGCTATAATACTATATTCTAGAGTCTATATTCAGATTTCACCCATTTTCTCAATAATGTCCTTAATAGCAACTTTTTTCCTGTCCAGGATCCAGTCCAACAACACGTATTGCATTTCCTTGCCATATCTCTTTAGTCTACTTTAAACTGAAACACTTTTCCACCTTTTTGTCTTTCATGACACTGACATTCTTAAAGAGTACGAACCAGTTTTATGTAGACTTTCCCTCAATCTGAGTTTATCTGATGTGTATCTTGAGTTCATCACGATGAGATTCAGGTTATACATCTTTACCTGGCCCTAATCCACACCCTGATCCAGCTCCACTTGTGAAGCAGAGGAGCCATGTGACTGGGTAAGCTGTGGAGCTTGCTGTCGCTTGCCACATGGAAATGATGCCTGCCTGCAGCTCTGTAGTGAGGAACAAATGAGGGAGTGTAGAGGAAGCCAAGGGCATGCAGCTGGTGCGTGATAAATGTTAGTGGTGAATAATGAATGATGCGATGCGGTGGCTACTTCTCATCCTGTGTTGGGGAAGGGACAGGCAGAGATGCTGACAGAAGCAGCTTGCCCTGGAGCCGTAGGGTGGGAGCCAGGGAATGGGCAGGAGAGGCAGCGGCTGTCCCAGGTCTGAGCCCTGACCCCCTGTCCCTGCACCCTCAGTTCTTCCCCAACGGAGATGCCATCTGCACAGGCTCAGACGATGCCTCCTGCCGCCTGTTTGACCTGCGGGCAGACCAGGAGCTGACTGCCTACTCCCACAAGAGCATCATCTGTGGCATCACATCTGTGGCCTTCTCCCTCAGTGGCCGCCTGCTCTTCGCAGGCTACGATGACTTCAACTGCAATGTCTGGGACTCCATGAAGTGCGAGCGCGTGGGTAAGAGCCAGCCCCACCTACTGCCACCTCAGCGAAGGACCCTTCCCTTTCTATACTCTCACACCAGCTCCCCTTGTTGGGACCCATTTATTACTGTCCATTAATTACTAGGTAACTCTGAGCCCTACCCCTAGAGTCCAGTACCCCTTGGCTCCCAATCTGTGACTATCTTCCCTCAAGGAAAAGTTGCTACAAGCATTCTTCTCCCCTGCCCAGTACCATGTCATCCCCAGTTCTATGGACCTTGTCTGTCTAGTCAGTTCTGGGTTCTTGAGGTTTCAGAGAAAGGGCAGCCTTGAGGAATTATGGAAGAGAGCAGACTTAACACAGATCTGGAGTGACCTGAGGGCCCTGACTCCAACCTAGGGGCATATCTAGGACCAGCCTGGCCTAAAGTTGAATCAGGTGGTATGGCTGCTAATCTTGGGAGAGGCCACGTGCTGAATGAATATAACGCTGGCCAGAGTCAGGATCCAAATCCTAACTCTGCTGTTTACTTTCTGAGTGTCCTGGGGTGAGTCTCTGGGCCTCAGTTTCTTCATCTGGAAACAAGGGGCTAGGACTAAAGGGTTACTTTGCCTGTTTTCCAGCACCCATCAAGTTAGAGGGATACCACCTTACCCCCTTGCTTTTCTCAAAGCACAGGGATACTTCCAACCTTCCCTGTCCCTCCTCGCCGTAAGCCCTGCCCCCATCCTATCCCAGGTTCTTGAGAGATTGGCCTCAAGTGAAATCCCTTTTCTTAGGGTAAACCTCTTCAGTCTTTTCCAGGGGCTGAAGAGTCCGTTGCTCAGCCTACCAACCCAGGATCCCTGTACACACATAGGCACTCCCTTCCACAGCAGTGCAGGGAGGCAGGCTGACCCCTTTCCTTCTTCCTCAGGCATCCTCTCTGGCCATGACAACAGGGTCAGCTGTCTGGGGATCACAGCTGATGGAATGGCTATGGCTACTGGTTCCTGGGACAGCTTCCTTAAGATTTGGAACTGAGGAGGTTGGACGAGAGTAGGTGGAAGCCCATGAAGACACTCAGCTGCAACCCCCTTTGAGGTTTTCTCTTCTGTATTCCACTGCCACTCCCACCAAGCTTTCTCTCTTGAGGGCAGTGGGGAGTGTGGGGAGTGTGCCTTTGGGAGGCAGCATCAGGGACAAAGAGGCATCTCCTCCCAAGGCCTTCCCTCCCACTGGCCTGACAGCCTCCCACTTACTGAACAAGGACAACTGACCCCTCTCCAGCCCTTTGCAGGCCCAGCAGGCTTCCAGTTGAGGTCCTAGAATTCCTCCTTGACAGCCGCTACCTATGCCCAGACCTAGGTGGTACAGATTGTTCAACCCTGTTGACTATAGCTCTGACCTTGTGACTGTACCTCTGGCCTCCTTCTCCTTCACGCTTTCTCCTTTTTCTATCGTCTTTTTTTCTCTCCTAACCCAAACACATTGCTGTCAAGTCGATTCCAACTCATAGTGAGCCTAAAGGACAGAGTAGAACTGCCCCATAGCGTTTCCAAGGCTGTCATCTTTACAGAAGCAGCCTGCCATATCCTTCTTCCATGGAGCAGCTGGTGGATTCGAACCATCATCCTTTTGGTTAGCAGTCGATCACTTAACCATTGCGCCACCAGGGCGCCTTTTCGCTTCTAAAGCACCTGCAATAAAGTGTAGCACTGTGGTATGTCTGTAATGTTTGCCTCTATCCCCCTTCTATTCCCAAAACACCTGAATCTCATTTCCTCCTCTTCACCCTCCTGGTTCTTCACTCTTAATGGGAGGCAGCCCTTGCCCTTCTTATCAAGGAAGCTCAGGGGCCTGAGCCTAAAGGCTCCCCTTTCCACGTAGATTATTCGGGACTAGAACTCCATGGGGCCCCATTGCAATTCTAGACTCCCCTAGAGAAAACACCTGGAGAAGATAAGCCCCTTCTCTCTGAGGCATGAGGGAGCTGGGGTAATAAACTGTTTATTGTGCTTGTCTGCAGGTAAAGCCCAGAGTCAAGATGGGGCTAAGTAACAGGGGCCACAGGGCATAATGGTTTAGCGAAGTTATTCTCACAGTAGCAAAATCATGGAGGACAAGGAGAAGAAATGGACTTGGTCTCTAGCACAAGCCTAGAACTGAGACTCCACTCTGTCATTCAGTCAATAAATGTTAAGTATTATCAATGGGAGGCATTGTGCTAGGCCCTCAAGGAGCTAAAGACAGCAAATAGGCAATGAGGTGCAATAAAGCATTGCAGGTACAATGATAAAGGCTGGTACCGGGCAGTTGAGGGGTAGAAAGGAGGGTGGAGGCAGAAGCCAAGCCTTAAATGGAGGGAAGCCTGAGATGAGTCAGGGGCAGAAGGTATTCACCAGGTGGCTGGGAAAGTGTGTGTGCAACAGGTCACTACAGCCTGCCTATGGTGTGTATGTAGAGTTATGCTGAGCAAGAGTCAGATTATGAAAGGTCTTAAATGCCAGGCTAAGGAATCTAGACTTTATCATAAGGGCAATAGGGAGCCATTAAAGAGTTTGGAGCATAGTAGTACTATGATCAGTTATGCCAATCATGGAAAGTTGTGTTTCTCAGAAAGGTAGCCTTAGCAGCAGAGTAGGTTGATAAACTGAAGCGAGGGGAGTCTGGAGCCAAGGTAGGGGGCAGGTGGCAAGAGTGATGGGGACAGACGGGTAAGGGAGGGGGATGGGAATGAGACTTAGTGATCAAGTGCTAGGATGTGGGATATTGAGAGGGAAGGATTGCAAATGATGGCCAAGGTTTTGGTTTGCATAACTGGGTGAATAATACAGTTATTCACAAGAAATGGGGAACAGGGGATGAGGGATAGCTTTTGGGGGAAGATCATAAATTCAATTTTAGACAAACTGACTTTGTAGTGCTTATGAGGTAGCTGGATAAAGGTCACGGTTAGAGAAACCTGGAAGTTACCAGAATACAGGTAAGTGATAGCTAAAGCCATAGAAGCGAACACCTGGAGAGAGCAAGAGGAAAGGGCCAAGGATAGAACCCTGGGGGACACCAGGATTTAAGGGAGGAAATGCAAGAGAGGCTTGGAGTTATCAGTGAGGGAACACGAGCACTCCAGGATGCCATTCAACATACGGACGACCCAGCACAAGGTTTAGGCATAACATTTAAAAACATCATTTTAAATCACTTCCTTTAATATACAAGAAACACATAAGACACAAAGAAAGCCCAATCAAACTCTCAGTCTCAGAGTTGGTAGTTTAGGGGGAGTCAAAGAAAACAAGCCATTTCTCAGTACCCCAGGGAAAGAAGGGGTGAGAGGACACAGGACATCACTAGGCCCCAGGTGATTCCAGTGCTAGGGCCAAACAGGGCCTAGTTCTCTACCAAGGGAAAGTGCTGATTTTCCTTGTCATGGTCCTGGCCTTGCTCCCATGCTCGCCCTCCAGTTTTCAGAAGTCGTCCAGTTCCCAGGATGGTCACTTCTTTTAGTTCTCTAACATTTTCACTCAGGGGAGAAGGCCACTTACCCTGAAAAAGGCAGTGTGTGAGTGGGAAGAGCCAGGAAAAAGGGCCTCCCACCTTCTGGGTTGGATTTCCTAGCCATTGCTCTCACCCTCTCTCCCTTACCTGTCGTGGTGTCAGGGTCCCAGGGGAGTTGTCATCCTGCAGGATGGTGAGGGGGGACCTCCCTAGTACCTTGCCATTTGGCTTCCGTCTATTACGATTAGAACCTAGGGTGGGTAAGGAGTTAAAGCAAGGACCCCATATTAGAGGCTTCCAGTTTATGCCTCCCACATATCCTTGGACATTAGCCCAGCACATTCTCCTAATTTCTCTTCCCTACACCTTGCCCTTAGATTCTGTACCTGAAGATCGGGGAGTCTCAGGGTCTCTCAAGGGCTTGTCTGAGCCCCGGCTGGCCACAGCGGTTTCTGTGGGCTGTCCTGCTTCCTCCTTGGAAAACACCTGTTTGGAGGGGAGCTCAGTTTGGCTCAGAGGTGGCATCTGGTCCTCAGCGGATAATTGGGTGCCCAGAGGCAAGTCCAATTCAGAAGATGAAGGTGTCTCCAGGGGCAGAACAGACTTTGGGGAAAGATTTGATTTGGGGGCTTCGGTGTCAAGTACTTCACTAAGCTGCTTCACCAGTGGGCTTGGAGGTTCTAAAGGAGACAGTGAAGTGGGACAGTGACTCTCTGATACAAATCATTCAGCAAAGAGAGAAGGGTACAGGAGCCTTGGGACTCATGCCCAGGTGGGTGAGAGAGTGGGAAGAGAGAAATCAAGGCGAGAGGGAGCAAAATGTTGAGAAAAGAGTGAGGTGAGTTCAAAGCAGGAGGATGGAGTCCCCTTTGAGGAGTCCTGAGAGGCCCACTCCCTGGGCCCAACACTTACCACTGGTGCTGGTCTTCATAGGAGTCCGTGCAATGCCAAGGGTAGGAGAGCGGGGATCGGAGTCCTGAGTCTGATTAGGACCCTCCAGCTGTTTCCCTGATGGTAGGCTAGGTTGTGGAGAGCTTTCCACCTGTTAGGACCACAGGCTAGAACAAGTTTGGGCCCTGACTCTCCTCTCCCCAGGTGCCTAGCCTCAGGCCGATATTCCAGGCAGGAATTGTCAAAGTTCTCAGACCTTCAGCCTACCCCACACAGATTGAGAATGTGGAAAATAAAGCCTCAAAATAGGAATGGTAGAGAGCATGAGGGCTCTCTCAGAGCCAGGTAAGGCTGAGCCCAAGAATTCAGTTTCTCTGCCCCCCCCACCCCCCTCGCCCAGAGTACCTGGATGGGAGTGCGCAAGATGCCGGCACTAGGTGAACGAGGGTCCGCCACTCGAGCCAGATGCTTGTTGTGCGGCGGGGGCCGCGCTGGAGTGACTGGGACGCTCTTGGCCAAGCCCATCTCTACCAGGAAAAGTAGGGTGGGGCAGGGCCCGGCCCGGGGCGAGGAAGGGGTGTCTGCGAGAAGCGACTCAAGTCTCAGTCCTTACCGCGACCATGTCCACCTTTGACCCCAGATTACCCGACCTTCCCAGTGTCCAGCTGAGGAACCTCCCTGCCGCCGTGCCACAGGCCTCTGCGGAAGTAATGACTGGTGCAGCTGACAAGAAGGCGCATCCTTGGCCTCCCAGGACCTCTAAATTTATTCAAACCACTTACCGGGCCCCAATGCCACCTTTGGGTCCACAGGCGCTCGAGCCTCAACTCCCAAAGCTGAGTTTCAAACCTCCCGCCACGCCCCCTACCTTGACTCTATTGGCTGAGCCGAGGTCGGCTCTCATAGGCCCGCTCTCTGAAGATAGGCATTGGGCTGGAGGACGTCTATCAGCGAGACACTGGGGCCAATGGGCAGAGGCTTGGCCTGCCTAGGGTGACGCCTCCTTGATAACGGAACTTCCGTTCAGTGCGAGGCTGCGAGTGGTTCACCGTGACGCTTTTGAGACCTCCAGTTTCAAAGACAAATCATTTTATTAACCAAAAAAATCATGAATTATTACGCTATTACGTACAAAACCAGTTGGAAATGGAGTTATGATGGTTTCTCCTGAGACGAGAAGGATAGTAATCGTTATCGGTAGAAGTTATCAATCGCTCGACACTAATCCTCTCAAACTCCACCTCATTGGGTAGCCCTTTTTCAAATACTAAGAAGACAAGTGCCTTAATATTTTCTGATTGGACAAATCCTCAGGAAAGTTTCTGGGATTGATTGGTTTAAACATCCATCAGTTTCTGCTCTTCAATGTAAGGCACGCGAAGGGACTGCAGGAGTCTCCAGAGTTTGAGCAGCCAAAACTCCGGAGCCCGCCTCGCTGCTCTACGTGCGCACAGGCCTTGGAGGAGTGGGATTGGTTCTTTCGACTATCAATTGTGTTAGAAGCGCTTCTCATTGGCTTTAGTCGAGAGTAGGGCAGAGGGCGGAGCACTAGTAGACAGGCTCCGCCCAACTGCCATTCTCGCGCATCTTCCTTTTAGCGCATGTACCTAACGAGTAGGCCTCATTGGACGGGAAGAGTAGGGGGTGGGGGACTAGGGCGGTGGGAGTCGCTGTGTGGAAGAGCTGTTGCCGGTGTCATGGCGGAGCTGAGTGAGGAGGCGCTGCTATCAGTGTTACCGACGATCCGGGTCCCTAAGGCTGGAGACCGGGTCCACAAAGACGAGTGCGCCTTCTCCTTCGACACGCCGGTAAGCCCATTCCCCACGCCAGTAGCGAACACGACTTCCTTCCATCGCCCTGGTCATTCTGCCGGGGCCTGCAAGGCTTGAGCTACCGCCTTCCTGCGGTGCAGCATGGGACTTGTAGTCTCCCACGCTCCTCTCTGCCGTTGCTTTTCATTAGCTGCGGCCGTCGTGCGACTACCGCCCCCGGAAGCTACCGCGCTCGCCGAACTCGCTCTCTGCCTTGTGGAGCACTGTGGGGATTGTAGTTGCTCACACCCCTCTTTGCCGTTGTAAGCTAGGGGAGCAACTCGACGGTCGAACTACATCCCCCGAGTGGACCCCCTGCGAAAGCCTGGGAGTTGGCCGTGCCTGTTGCGCGTGGCTCTCCGGGTTTTGTAGTCTCGTGGGAGGGAATGGGGGCGACCCCCCCAGTGTTCTGGGCCGGGGTTGCGGGGCACGGCGGGAGATAGTGGCGACTGCTGTTCTTGGGCGGCTAGTAGTCTGGAAGCGGTATGAAGCAGGCCAGTTCTGAGGAAGGCCGAGTTAGGGAGCCTCCACCCATGGTTAATATGTACAGGGCACGGGGAGGTGGGTCGTTGGTGATATTGAGGGAGGAAACAGGAGAGGAAAGCTTTCATCGTTTATCCTTTGAGGTGAACTATGATCGCAGCCCCCCTCTTTTCCCGCCCATCACAGAGAAAAGAAGGAACATCATTTAAGGTATTCCCAGAGAGATGATTTCTTTCATGGTGGATGCTGAGGAGTCAACCCATCCGGGCCCCCACTCTTGACTAGTTGCTCCCACTCTTGACTAGAAAAAACTTCCACCCACATCGTATTTCACGTTTTGCAGGCTCCACCCGGTGGCTCCCTTCCTGCAGTCCTGCCTTCCTGTGTCACCCTCAAGCAGAGACAGCCCTCTAGCCAGGCCAGAGACTGAACAGAGAGGGCAGCAGTCAGGTTGGGATCCGCCCCCCCTCACCACCCCTCCCCTCAAGCCACTGCTGGGCCCTGCCCAGGGTATTCAGCCAGACCAGCTCATGGCCGGAAAACTGCAAGTCAGAATGGAAAGGTTTCACTAATGCATCACCAGTGCTGAGTATAGCAATCTAAGGCCCAGTTCAGGATCACCACTGTGATTTGCGGTTTGCTTGATTTGCTAAGCTTTGATCTGGGCCTCAGACAATGTGCTGCTTCTCTGAAGTCTAGCTTTGGCAGAGGTAAAAGGACTTCTCAGAGCAGAGCTCCAGGGTTCCCAGCTGTTGGTGAAATCAGCATCTTTTAGTTCCAATAGAGGAGTTTAATCACTGCAGAGCTCCCACATCCTCCCAGTTTATCGAGTGCATGGATTGGTGAAGCACCATCTTCCTCAGGAGGGAAAGGTTTTTCTTAATTCCCAGCATATGGTAGAATTCAGTTGATCCCTTCCTTACACTTTTATTCACTGTTGTCTCTCTCCTCAGTAAGTGCTTTGAATAATCCAAAAGAGGTTTTTGTAATATTCTGACACTTTCCTTCTGTCACCCCAAGTCAGGAGGTCTCCAGTGTGACCTAGTTGCTTTATTATCCAGCTTCTGGCATATTTGATTATCTTGAGATTGGGTTCATGGGGGAAAAAAGCTTAGGTGACTTACCTGGTGGTGGGAAATGCTCTATTTATTCATGAACATTGCAGTCCACACTGTTCTAGGGAGTGGTACAGAACAATCTATGGGACCAAGAACTGCCTTAGGCAGTGTCCTATTTTTAATATCACAGCAGAGAACTTTTTCAAGGCCACGAGGCTTTTATTCCAGGAAGAAGATGCCTGTTGTTGCTCAAAGCCTTAGATATGAGGGAAGACTCTCTTATTGTCTCCAATTTCCTATCTATCACTCTATTTACAAAGGCTCTTGTGAACTTTTCCAGCCTTGGGGGAGCCCAGCCTCGCTCCTTAGCTGTGATTTAGGGTAGACACTCGTCTTTCCCTGTATTCTTCCTGTGTTGTACGTGTTCTAGCTGTCTTAGCAAGTGTTGCTAGATGTTGCTAGGAAGAGGATGGCTTTGAGGTTGGAGGTAGATGGCACTTCAGTGGGGATCATAGTTACCGGTCAAAGGGGATGGGAGGGAGCAGGATGGTGACTGGAGAATACTGGACTTGATGTCCCTGCCAGACTGGATCCAGGTTTAGCTGTGAGCCCCAAACAAGGCATTATTCCCCTGGAGCCAGACTTCAGCAGAAGAAGACTCACAGGGTGGACCAATTTGACCACCTAGTAGAATGTGGTAAAGAAAAGGTCTAGACTTGCTGGGGAGCTCGGTGGTTAGGTGTCGCATTCAGGTGCTGCAGTCTGCTCCTTCTGGTAGTGGAGAGCGGGTAGGGTTTGTGTTAGGTGTGCCTTGTTTGGGTTCAGTGTCTGACATGCAGATCTCTCCTCTCCCAAAAAAGACCCTTTTTCCTCTGAATGTAATCCCTGGCACTGGAAGTCCATATATTTGATCCCCATTTACCTTCTGGATCTCTTGGTCCCAGGAAAGGGGAGAAGGAAGGGAGTTCTCTGTGATTAGTTGGGGGGCTCCAACGCCCAAATAAGGAACAGAGGGAAGGTGAAAGATGACTGATAAGTGTTACTCAGGCCCTTGGTGTCCATATTGGTTCTTATCAAAGTCATAGGAAGACATGGGGGAGAATCTTAGGCAGGTACCAGGTCCCAAGAGGCTAAACAACTTGCCACAGGCCACACAGTGTTAAACAACAGAACCTTCCTTCTGGAAGCCGGGATTTTCTGACCACAGGTCTTTGGTTTCACTGCCTGGCCAGACTTCATCCTCCTGTGTTTCCTTCCCTGCCTCTTGCCCTGCAGGAGTCTGAGGGCGGCCTCTACATCTGCATGAACACATTCCTGGGCTTTGGGAAACAGTATGTGGAGAGGCACTACAACAAGACGGGCCAGCGGGTCTACCTGCACCTCCGACGGACTCGGCGCCCGGTAGGGGCAGGGGCAAGGGCTGGGGCTAGAGCAGACACACTCTTCAGGGCACCCATTTTGAATCTCTGTTCCATACTGACCTTTTGGCCTCAATTTCCCCCTTTTACCTACTCTTGTTTGTGTCATTAAAACTCCATTCAGATGGACAAATTTGGGAACAAATAATGGAGCCCTGGTGACACAGTGGTTAAGAGCTTGGCTGCTAGCCAAGAGGTCAGCAGTTCAAATCCACCGGCCTCTCCTTGGAAACCCTATGGGGCAGTTCTACTCTGTCCTCTAGGGTCGCTGTGAGTCAGAATCAACTCGGTGGCAACAGGTACCGGTAAGGGTGATGGTTGAACAATGTGATGAACATAATTAATGTCACTGAACTGTACATGTGAAGATCCTTGACATGACAGATGTTTTGCTACACATATATTTACCACATCCATACACACACACACAAACTCAGCTCAGATATTTTTTAGCTGCATCCTCTTCCTAGATTAACCCACCCCACCTGTCCTCCCAATTTTTCCCTTTCCTGGTGTCCGGCGCCCATTGCTGATCCTGCTGTCCCGCCTCATTGCAGAAAGAGGAGGACACCACTACAGGCACTGGAGACCCTCCACGTAAGAAGCCCACCCGGCTGGCTATTGGTGAGGACTGCTGAAGTTTTATTCTTCTCCCTGACCTGGTCCTTCCTACTCTCATAGATACCAGGAAAAACCCCCAAAATGAGCCTGATCTCTGGTCTTAGGGCTCTGGAGGGGACAAAGGAAGGTGCTGTTTCAGAGAAGGGACATTTACCTGTGGTGGTTGCCCTACTCTTCCTC